GCACTCCCTGCCGCCCATCGCCCGGCGCCTCGGCCACCACCCGCCCCAGTCCCTGAACGTGGGCAAGCCCCTGTACCAGAGCATGAACTGCAAGCCCATGCAGATGTACGTGCTGGACATTAAGGACACCAAGGAGCGGGGCAGGGTCAAGTGGAAAGTGTTCAACAGCAGCTCCGTGGTGGGACCCCCCGAGACCAGCCTGCACACGGTGGTGCAGGGCAGGGGTGAGCTCATCATCTTCGGCGGCCTCATGGACAGGAAACAGAACGTCAAATACTACCCCAAAACAAATGCCTTGTACTTTGTGCGAGCAAAGAGATAATGCGGCCCCAGCCCGCCGCCACCCCCGTCCTCCCCCTTCCCGCGGCTCTTCCCGGTCCTTCCCGGCCCCCGTCCCGTCACACAGCGACCAAACTGTGAATTAGGGAGCAGGAAACCAATAAAAGTCCGAGCAAAGCCTCCAGTGCTGCCCAGTCAGACCCCAGTGAAGCCGGTGGCGGAAGGACCCCGGGGATTCAGGGTGGATGGAATTCTGCCATCCGGGACCCCCACGAGGTTGATTTTCCGAGGGTTTGGGAGGCTTTGTCCCTCCAAAACCCCTCCAGAGCTCCTCGAGAGCCTCGTGGGGCTTGAGTGAACCTGGTTTTGTAGGAACGACCCAAACTCTGGCAGGCAGGAGGAAGGAGCTGGGTGAATTCCACACCTGGCTCCCTCAGGAGAACAGCAGCAATATCCCCCTGGGAATGCCCAGCGCTGGGAAATCCTGCTCGACACAAACACGATGCCTTTTTTTTGCCTCACCTGCCGCTCTCGCCCCTGTCCTTGGGCAGGGCCAAAACAAGGAGGAAAGGACAGGATTTTGTGTCAGAATGCCAAATATATTGATTGTTCCCATCCCTCCTCTCCCTGCTGTGCTGGATCAGGCTTCGGGATTGGCCCCAATCCCATCTGATCACCTAAAAATCCACTTATCTCCCCAAAACGGAGACGTTTGGCTGCCAATTCCCCTCTGGACTTCAAGGATTCATTTCACTTGACATCCCAAACCCATTCAAGGCCAAACCAGCCCCTTGGAGCCTGGGAACAGGGTGGGTTTTCCAGGGAAAAGGATGGATATTGGTGAATTTGAGGGCGTGAGCAGCCTCTGCAGCAACTTCACCTCATCTTTGCACGTGCCTCCTTCCACAAGGATTCCATTCAAATCCCAAGGGATTGAACCTGTGCGTCCTTCTGGGACAACCCCCCTCCTTCCCTTTCCCCTCTGGGGGGTGGGAAAAACAGGTGGATTCTGCCAGGTTTTGGTCAACAACCTCCAGGACCCCGAAGACAGGGAGCCCTCCCCACGCCGGCAGCGCCATGACGTGGTCCCTCCTTCCCGGGATTTTATTTCCCTCCATTCCCACTGAGCTTTTTGCCGGTCGGAGCCTTAAATCCCATCCCAGCCGTGTGGGGATGGGGAGGGATTTGCTTCACCCTGTTGCCACCTCTGTAAATAAACCCCTGGTCCAACCCGACCTCTCCCGTCCATCCCAAAATGATTTGTCCCAAGGGAAAAGCAAAATTGTCCCTGTCCCAAAAAAAACCAGAAACCTCAGGAGCACCAAGGGTGAGCTGTGAAATATTCCCTCTAGGAAGGCGGTCGGGGCTTCGGCAGCGATTCCCACCCCCCTTTGCATGTTTTTGGTCATCCATCCCAAAAAAGAAAGGGATGGATGGAGCGTTGATTCCTTCTCCCTGCGCGGGGCACCCCTGGAGGGGTGTTTTCCCAACGTTTACATCCTGAAAATCCCACCAAGCTGGGGCCGTCCCTGCTCCACCCCCGCCACGGAAACGCATGTTCTGTGCCCTTAACGAGGAATTCCTCCCAAACTTTGATCCCTGGATCCCCCGGGAGCCGCTGGTGCTGTGAGCGAGGTGCCCCCCCCGCGACTCAGGTGTCCCCCCGCCGTCATTCCCGACTGCAGGAACGGGAAGCGATGCCGGTGATATTTAAAACCTTCTGTACATTTTTGGGGGGTTCGTGGGGGTCCCTCCCCCCCCAATCCCGAGGAATTTTTAGCGGTTTAACAAATAAAAAAAAAAAAAGGAAAAGAAATGGATGGTCGGTGATTTCGGGGAGGGAATGACACGGAGGGGAATTCCCTGCTGCCATTCCCAAAAGTTTGGGGGTGAAAAAGGGAGAATGTGGGGTCTTTGGGGGTGAAAAAAGGGGAATATGTGTCCCAGGAGCAATGGGGGGGAAGGGAGGCAACAGGGTTGGGGGTTCAGGAAGAGGGGGGAGTGCTGGGAACCAGGGACCCCAAAGCTTGTCAGGGATGGAAATTGGGAATGGGGACCCCAAAGCTCACTGGGGTTGGAAACTGGGGACCCCAAAGCCTGCTGGAGGTGGGAATTGGGGCCCCCAAGGCTTGTTGGGGATGGAAACAGGATGGGAGCCCCAAAGCCTGCCAGAGTTGGGAACTGGGGGCCCCCTCAGCCCTGTTAGAGGTGGGAATTGGGGATGGGGACCACAATTCCTGGGAGAACTGGGAACTTGGGCCCCCAAAGCCTGTTGGGGCTGGGAATTGGGGATGGGGATCCCAAAGCCTGTTGGGGCTGGGAATTGGGAGCTGGGGATCCTAAAGCCTGTCAGGGCTGGGATTTGGGGATGGGAACCCCAAAGTCTGCCAGTGTTGGGAATTAGTGACCCCAAAGCCTGTCGGGATTGGAAATGAGGGATGGAACCCCAAAGTCTGCTGGATCTGGGAACTGGGGACTCAAAAACCTGTCAGGGCTGGGAATTGGGGATCCCAAAGCCGGGGGGAGGGCTGGAATTTGGGACCCCAAAGCCTGTTGGGGCTGGAATTTGGGGATGGGGATCCCAAAACCCGGCAGTGTCGGGAACTGGGGATCCCGAAGCAGGGCCGGGGTCCCTCCACGTGCCGCCCCGGCCCCTCCCCGGCGCATGCGCGGGCACGGGGCGTGGTCT